CCCTGTGCTACACAGAAGAAACTTTTTAAAAATTTATTTTTATATATAGTAGCTAACATTTGTAAATCTCAAAGTCCCAAATTTAGCCCTTCCCACACCCCCTTTCCCTGGTAACCATAAGATTCATTCAACCATATGTTTGAGCATCTACTATGTTACCAGGTCCAGTGCTGGGTGCTGAGGATTCAAAGGGATGGGAGCTGAGAAGACCCTCGTAGGCAGGAGAAATAGATACAGAAACATGCCATCAAATAGGACATGAATGCATCCCATATAAAATGGAAACACCAGGCATCTACCTGCAATAGTGTACTGGGTATTTTCACTTGCATTGGACACAAAATCTGTCTCAAAATGTTTCTTGCAACTTCTTCCTTTTTCCGAGAGCCGTGTTATAATCCCTGTTAGTCAGGCGTACCTCCTCAGGACCCTTCTTCGTGCCGTCACAATTACCTTTCATATCCAGTTAGTTCCTGCATCTGCTTCATTCTTCCTTCATAATATTTCTCACATTTTTTTTCTCTTTCTGTCCTCACCAGCATTGCCCTAATCCAGGCCTCAATTACCTGAGTTTAAAATTATAGACATCATCTCCCGCCTGACCTCCCATTTATGTGTCTAATAACACTTATGTGCTGCTTTGTTATGTAATTATCCTGCTGAAAACCGTTGGGGCCCTGCTGCTCCCCCTTTTTACAACTATTAGCAGAGGGCAGAAGAACAGAGATCCTGAAGCAAGGCTCCCTGCGTTCGAACCCTGGCTCTGTTAGGCAGCTAGACAGGAATGGGCACTGGGTGAGGGGAGTGGGAAGGGGAGGGAGCAATCCAGAAGATAACGATGCACCTGCATTCAGGATAAGGGGCTACAGAGAGCTTTACTTTCTCTAAATGAGTGCCAACAAAGAAACCAGTTAGAAGCGGATGCCATGACTGCACGGTAGAGAGAAGGACCCGACCTGACATGATCCAGTGCTCACTATAACGTAGTTAGCACTGCTGTTTAGGTGCCCTCGTGGGTTTTTCTGTGTGCATCATGGATGAGAACCGTCAATCAATCACAAGATCGTCCCTAACCCAGGATACAAAACAGGAAAAACACAGGAGGGGCGGGGTCATTATCCTCTCTTGGGTCAACCTGCCTTCAGTTCTCAAAGGTGTACTTTGCATTCTGACTTTTGCTTTACTAATAAAACTCTTTGCTTACACAACACTTTAGTCTCCCGTCTGAATTCTTTTCCGGGTAAGACAAGAACAGAGGCTTTTCTCTTCCTTGGGGTAACGGCTCCATCACTTACAAACCGTGAGACTTTGAGCAAGTTAGGGAACCTCTGGGTTCCTCATTTATCTCTAACAGAAGATGAGAAGAAGCAGAATAGCACCAGCTTCACTGGGCTGCTGTGGAGTTTCCATGAATTCATTTTTGTCAAGCACTTTGATCTGCCCCTGTCATAGAGTAAATGCTTTAAAAGTGATTAAAATTATTTTACAAGTTAGCCTTTGATCAGACATCCTCTCTGGATCTCAGCCTCTTATCCGTATGGCTGATCATTTATCTCTCTAATTGGCTAGAATAGGAGAAGATGGCAGTACCCGGCACATAGTAGGTGCTCAGAGCACGGTGGCTCTCTAATTGGCTAGAAGAGGAGAAGATGGCAGTACCCGGCACATAGTAGGTGCTCAGAGCACGGTGGCTCTCTAATTGGCTAGAAGAGGAGAAGATGGCAGTACCCGGCACATAGTAGGTGCTCAGAGCACGGTGGCTCTCTAATTGGCTAGAAGAGGAGAAGATGGCAGTACCCGGCACATAGTAGGTGCTCAGAGCACGGTGGCTCTCTAATTGGCTAGAAGAGGAGAAGATGGCAGTACCCGGCACATAGTAGGTGCTCAGAGCACGGTGGCTATTACTGGCTGGGACTCAAGGCCTTCAGCCCAACACTGAGGCCTTGACACAAACTGTTTTAACTCATCTTTCTTGTCTCTGACTACATGCGATCTCCATTCTAGCTGGATGACACTTTATTCCCTTGTTAGGTAGTCAGATAAGTGGGAGCACCGGGCAGATGAGGTGCAGGATGGGGAGGATGGTCCGGGAGATGGTGGTATGCTTGCCTTCAGCATAAAGGGGCTTTATTTACTTCCTCTTAATGCGTGTCAGCAAGAAACTCGTTAGAACTCAACAGCCACAACTGTGCGGTAGCAACAAGGACCTAACAGGACATGACCTGATGCTCACTGTAATATAATTAGCATTGCAGTTTAGGCTTCCCCCTGTGGGTTTTTCTGTGTGCAGCATGGGCAAGGACATGTGCACAAGGGGACAAGCATGACTAAGGACTCCAGGGGCAAGAGCCATCAATCAATCAAGGGACCACCTCTAAGCGAGGGTCTAAGAAAAAGCGATCGAACAAAGACCACTGCTATCTGCCCTTGGGTCAGCCCACCTCCCGTTCTTGGAGATGTACTTCCCCTTTGCTAAATAAAACCTTTAAAATCTTTCGCTAAACAATGTTTCCATCTCCTGTCTGAATTCTTCTCTTTCTGGTAAGACAAGAACCGGCGTCTTTCCCCGTCCCCTTTGGGGTTAACACCCTCCGTGTATCATGGCCCACTGTGTTGTTCTTTTCACGCCACTGTTTCCACAGCCTGAACAGCCTTTTACTTTTGCATTCATCCAAAAAGGTCTACCAGTTGTTCAAGTCTCCATTCAAGGCTTACCCACGTCAGTGAAGTCTCCTTTAGATACTCTGATTCTCAAAGACTGTCTCTCCTTAAAATGACGATACTGTTTTGGCCACTTGGGAAGATTTTATCATATAACATTTATAACTTGGCCACATAGTGGGTTGAGACTTAGCAAGTTATCAGCCTCGATACTGGAGCTAGCTCCCCTGAATACAGGAGATAAAGGCCAGATGCTCGAGGCAAGGGCAGTGGCTGGGGATTGGGATGGGTCACAGGCGTCTGGCCCAGAGAGGGTAAATACGTAAGGACAGACTTCAGCAGAAGTCCAGTTCTACACCAGGGTGAACTACTGAGTGTGAGCATCCTGCAGGCCCACAGGCAGCGGTTCCCGAAACCGGGCAGGAGCAAGCCAGGCATCCCTGGGCGGCACCAGCAAGTTGCAGGACCCTTTCTGACAGCCTGGGGGCTCATCCCTGCCCTGGTGCCTCCAAAGGTTTTATGGAGAAAGCTCTCTGAGTCAGTCTGTGATCAGGACTTCAGTCTGTCAACTCTCCCAAGTGGTCTGTCTGTCTTTCTTGTACATTCACATCATCAGCCCTCACGACCGGGACCACATTGCACTCCTTTTGAATTCCTGCATCCCCCCCATCATGATTTCTAACCCACTCTTTAACAAAATACTTGTGGTAGTTGGTTGGCAATGGTTTGAATCATATTGAATTGCCAATCTGTGACCATTTTTAATTCCTAAAATGGTACTTTATATTGTTCAATTGAACAGATTTTTAGTCTTTTCCAGGTTGCTTTACTGAAGAAAAAAATTTATCATCTTAGTTAACTTATAAGGCTGATTAAAATAACACTCAACTTTTCCCCGTTTCCTCAAAATTAACTATTCTGAGAATCTTCTAAAATCAAAACACTTCTTAAATCAAGAGAAATGATGGTTACTTTAAGTTCTATCTTTTAAATGTAGTAATGACCTACATATGCATCCCACTTGACTATCAGGCTTACTGAATACACTGCAAAAGCCATCATGTAAGGAGTACGTTAAAATCAATATTTTGGTTGTTCTTAGTAGAGAGGCGGCTTTAATGGGTCTCAGCGCAAGTTCTCTGGTGCTCAACTTCCCGGGTTCAAGTCCGACTGCACCAGTTAGCAGCGTGATGACTATGGGCAAGTTATTTACCCATTCTAGGCTTTACTTTCTCATTGTTAAAATGGAAATAATACTACTGTCATCTCATATGTCTATCAGGAAGACCAAATGAGCTAATATGCTTAAAACTCTTAGAATGACACCTGGTACTGGTAAAAACTCAATAACTTTTAGCTAATGTTATCTTAACATAAATCATGGTGGAAAAAAAAAAAGGAGGCGACAAGCCTAGAAGACTTCTGTTCAAAATATTTTCAAAGGAAATGAATTACTTTTTAATATTCTGGAGGAGGTAAGATGTGCCCTCAAAACTGTATCTATCCATGAAAGTGTATCTGTCATCTTTTGTCACAGCTGATCAAGAAATGGTACTGTGTGGCATGAAATATCTTCAGTAGACTTGGGCCTTTTTAATAAGTATTATACAGCAAAAGTTATTAGATGTGTGCACATTTTCTTACTTGAACTGACTTACTGATTATATCATTTCACCTTTCAATTTTATTAACATTTATTAGAAATACAATTAATTATGCTCAAAGGGATCTTAAGGACTAAAATGTATTCTTAAAAAAGCAAATTGATTTCTACCAAGAAATTTTTATAAAAACAGAACAGTCTATGTTAAATGAAGTATATCCTTGGCATATTTTATCAATGGCTCACATTTATAACCATCACTCTATAAGAATCATAATGATTATGACGATGATGACACAGAACATCGTAAGAGCTAAAACTATTTCAACCTGTGTTCATTAACCCATAAAAGTATCTCTGAGTTTCTGTATAAAAATCATCACAATCATCATCTTCAACCTCAAAAGGCCTATTTAAATTCATCAAATATATATTAAATATCTATCATCTACAGAGCAATGATTGAAAAGACAAACCAACAGATAAATTCTACTCTTTGCCAAAGTAAGGAATAAATCCTTTCTACAGCTAAATTCAGCTGCCCTGGTATATTAACAGACATAGCACCAGAAATAATTTACTTTGAAACTGAGTTGCACACTTTTCCTTGACATCACCTGTTAAATGTGACAATAAATAGCTAAACCAAATAAGCCAATGAACATATTTAAGTAAGTTCAGCAAGAGTGAGAAGAAAAAGAACATGGCATTGATTTTTTAAAAATTACTCTTATTCTTCGGCAATTTTCCATATCTTAATAACATTTGAGTTGTTTAATACAGGCTGCTATATATATGGTAGACTTTGTCACTAAGAAAGTTTCTCTGTGTGTGCAACTTTTGTGGGGGTAAAAGGGTCATTTTAAACTACCACTGTTACTGAAAACAATATTCAGAGCACATGATTAACTCAATCAGGAGTGTCGCTAAGAAGGTAACTTGCATATCAGGGGAGCTAGATGGTTTTATCTGTGTGTGTGTGTCTATATCCTTATCTGCACATTTTCCCTCATCTTCCCAACTTCTAGCTGAGGTGGCTGGTTATCTGCCATAAAGCCCTGCAGAGCTGGTGCAGGGTTGTGGGGGGATGCGGCCAAGCCAGGGGCTGCATGTCCTGGTTCTCCCCCTGTGTCCAGGTGCAGTCTTATGGCTTGTTCTTGCCGAAAGGGCAAGGGCGGGAGTGATCTGCATCCTTTTCCGGGCAGGACGTGATGGAGTGGGTAGGACTTTCTACTCTCTGCCTTGTCCCTTTCGCCTGGCTGGAAGCAGAGGATTCTGAAGCCACAGAGGATGACAGAGACACAAAATGGAAGGAGCCTGGGCCCCCAGCATCACATGAAGAACGCGCCTGCCAATATAAGTGAATAACTAACCTCAAGAGAATCTTTCTCTCCTGCAGAGGGTCTTTGTCGGGATGATTTTGAGCTTCCTTACCACCACCACCACCACCAATTTATTAAGAATGAGGGTGATTGATTTAATTTTGTCACTTGGCGAAACGTTGTAGGTAGAGCTTTCAATTGTAGTCAAAGTTCTAAAAGGAATTTGGAAACTTTCTGGCAAATTCATCTAAATAAAACTCAGTAGAGAACCAGAAATAAGTCTATGAGGGCCTTCAAGTAGTCAAAATAAATGTCAAAAACTCCTGCTACCAAAGGACAGAGCTTAATGCAACAGAGGAATCTATAAGATCTAATTCTGAGTGAACTCTTAAAGACTAATTTGGCAAGCTTTTAATCTGATTTCCCAGACATTAATTTCAACTATAATGGTGTTTGAAAGCATGTTTTTTCAGTCTGTGGCACACAAGAATTAGCACACACACGAATAGCGGCAAGCAATGGATCTAGATTGAATAATGTGCAAGATAAAGAAAGAATAATCCAAAATTCGGCAAAAAATTTTCAAAAACAATGACAGAGTCTGTCTAGTGAAGGGAACACAATGATACAAACCACTGTGTTTACCTTAACTCTGTTTATTTTCACTGATAGCCAAGTTGCAAATATTTATATACTGTTTCCTCCTCTGTTCAAGGAGAAATGCTGTTTCTATTTTCTCCATCAACGAAATTCAGTGCCCAGCACTTAGTAGATGATCAGCATGTGTTTGCTGAGTGAATGTTAGATATGAAAGTTTACCGAAGGTACACACTACTCAAGCAATCTAAAGTGGCAAAGAAACTTTCAATGAAAATAGCAACCAGTTTACCAACAGAAAAGGGAACGTACGATGAATGAGGACTGATTTGTGGGGTAAGTGGTTTCCTACTTGGTGCTGGGTTTGACTTGGCCAGCAAGTGCTGAGCGCCTGGGGCTTTCTGCGTTATGAGTCGGGAGTTACCAGTTATCACCAGGCAGGAGATCCAAATAGAGGACAGAGATATGGCTCGTGGCTGCTCCAGGTCCCAGTCTTACATTTCTGATTTTTGGTAACATAATAGGGGATACATTCAACCTGGAAATCTCTGCTGTGTTCTGGGCAAAGGGCTAAGTTATCACCTCAGAGTGACAAATATATCCAATTGCTTCCTCTGAAAATGTTTAGAACCCAGAAGGCCTCTCAACGCTCAACCTCATACACTCAAAACCGTTCACTCCATCCTATTGAGTAGGACAGGAATAAAGTGAGGTGAAATAGCATTTCTGTAGCACTGAGGCACCGTTCAACTGGGAATCATCCCTTAACACCTTATATCAAGGACACAGGGGACGTTCAACTACAGTAGTTTTTGAAAGCATATATTATTATTATGAATATTTTCCCTTAAAACCAAAAAATCTTATTCCTTTTTGAGGTCAATAACATTAAAAAAAATTCTTTTCTGGGTCAGTATTTTTTGCACAATTATACTGTAATGAATGAAAACTTCCCACCCACCAAATTCTCACCCTGTCTACCACTGTCCTTATATGTCACTGAAGGACACAAATGTTTGTGGTTAGGTATGCCGCTCTCCCATCAGGAGCAAAGCTATTTTGCCCGGTAATGCAAATGACTGCATTCATCAAAAGGAGCTTTGTTAGTTATTCATTGTGTTCCTTATCATTCCTTTCCCAAATCCCAGCCATTCTGCAGCAAGCACAGAGGTGCGTCAGCCACTGTCAAAGGTATCCTTATCAGGCGAGGCAGGGTGCTCCGGGAACGACCTGCCAAGTCACTGCGGCCTCCTGTCTTCCCACTCCTTTGTGCATAGTGGGATGCTTTGTCCTTATTCTATGATCTGCTTTTCTCAGCATGGTTCATGGTGTAAGTCCCACAAACACATCTGGAAAAAACACCTTGGAAATAGAAAGGATTTATGAAAACATTAGGCTCTTTTTTTTTTTCTCTTTCTTCTTTTTGTATGAAATGGATGACTCTGTCCAGCCTTCCCACATGGATAAGCTTAGTGGTTTTCTCTCTCTCTCTTATGTTTTAAGCACAAACATAATTATTTAAAGATGCCATGAGACTCAGAGAAGCCGAGTAGGAGTGGAGAGAAGGAAAGCCCAAAAGGGATATTGACAAGTTGAGAGAGGGTCTGCTAACGCCTCCGACAGAGGCAGACACAGGGGTCTCTTTTTCATTACCTCTAACACAGCTTAACTGAGTTCAGCACAGCCTTCTCTGTCCTTAGGGGGGAAGGTTTCCTTTTTGGACGGGCACTGGAGATTAATCCTTCTGTAATTTCTCCTGCTTTTCTAACTGTCAGGGGATTTGTGTTGGAGATAATGGCAGTATTAATGCCTAACCTGGGTGTAGAAATTGCCTTAATATAACAGGGATCATGAGGCGCACACCAGTAATTGCCCCTGAGTGATAGCCCTTAAAGTAAATGGCAATATAGGAGGGTCCACATCCAGAGGTCTTTAATGAAGTTTGGGGCTTTTCTGATGAGATTCTCTGCACAATAGGCAGAGAATCAAGGCTGCCTCATGAGTTTTAACCTCTAGCCTGGATTTAATATGGCCTTATTAAAGATCCTGGCCAGGGCATTCTGGCATGAAATGTAATAAAACAAGACACAAAATGTGCTGTAATTAAAGCCGTTTGGATAGTATTATCAGATACTTGATAATTAAGGATTTTTATCAGACAGTTGTGCTGGACAATGAAACAAACAATATACTGATAATGAACTGATAATGGCATTGAAACCAAGGCTGTTTTAAAAAGGAGACTAAAAACAGTCATGTGTGTGTTTTGAGAAAGCACTGTGGCATTATAACACAAGCTAAATTTAAGTATCACTGGATAAGAGTCTATAAATGAACTGTTGGCAGGAAACTGAAATGGTATTAAGCAAGTATTTCTCACATCCTTCACTCCCTCATCCCCAGTGCCGCAGTGAACTGGAGGCAGGGGGAGAGACCAGTTAGTGCTACAACCAGATGTAAAGCATGACTGAAGCAGCAGGGGTAAGACAGGAAGAACGGGGACTCTGTTATAGAGGAACAAGTACTGACACACAGAAAGGGTCTAAACGATGCGATTATCATATTAATCTAACTGTAAGCAAACAAATGTATTTGCTATCTTTTTCAACACAGAAGTTTTCCTTTTCTGAGTTTGTTAATGTAATATCTCTTCTTGGCTTTTCTTTGTCCACTCACTTTTTTTCCCCCCGAAACATGCACATTTTCTTAAGTTTCTTGGTTTAGAAAAGAATTTAGAAAAAAAAGAAGAACTTCAGTTATCAAATGTGTAGTGAGCTAGAAGTGAAAGTTCTGTGGTTGTTCACTGATGTGCTCAGATGTCATAATTTAAACACATCCATCTCTTCCACACTGACCCTGTATATGGTCCCTCCGTGCCCCACAATGCAAAGGCAAACCATGTTTATAGGTCATCTCATGCCTTTAAAGAAAAAGAAGCATAATTTGAGGGTATGACAGTGGTCCATCCACAACCACTCACTGTCTTAGTGGACAAGAAGTAAAAGAGACCCCATAACACTCATTCACTCATTTAACAATGAGCTTCAACCTAAGTGTTTCTACACAGGCTACAGTTATCACATAATATCTTCAGTATCACATGCTGTCTTTACTTTTTCTAAGAGTGATGAGGGAATTCCCCAGATGAGTTAATTAAGGGGAAAAATACAGATGTTAGTACTTGGCTGTTTGTTCTGACAAATTAGCATATGTAAACGCTACAGCAAAATAGATCTTAAATTCAGAAGAGAAAAAGTATCAATATATATAAAATACCTTAAAAAGCTTAAGGAAAAACACCCATGATAGCTATAATTTCAGAATGCATCTTAATTGTGTTGATGATTTTCTAAGTTTTCTGAGCCCATGTCGGGACCAGGGCCTCCCCTGACAAT